GGTAGAGTGCTGTGGTATCACAGCTCACAGCAACCTCCAGCTCTTGGGCTTAGGCGATTCTCTTGCCTCAGCCTCCCTAGTAGCTGGGACTACAGGCGCCCGCCAAAACACCCGGCTATTTTTTTGTTGTAGTTTGGCCGGGGCTGGGTTTGAACCTGCCACCCTTGGTATATGGCCCAGTGCCCTACTCTCTGAGCTACAGGCACTGCCCCTATATAAGTAAATTTTTTAAAATAAGGATTGCAAGAGGATAAGAATAGTTAAAATAGAGCCTGGCTCATAGTCTGCATTCAATTTATCTGAGCTAAAATTATTATCATCATTATACACAGTAATAGAGGCTGAGCCTTCTGGGAGCTCAGAGGAGGGCTAGTTGCCTAGCTCAGGGTTTGGCACATAGTAGGCCTTCAATAAATTGCAATCGATTTGTTCAGTGATGTCATCACTTATCCCATAGGTTGAGCATGGGTGTGGATTCATGATGTCAGCGGTTACTAGGCAGATTTAGCCCAGAGGGCAGGCGCTGTGAGGTCATTAGTTTCCGGGCAGATTAGCAGCTGAGTATCTGCTTTGGGCTTTGGCTCTGCTTCCATAGGTCACATTTGTTCTTCCTGTGCCCTGAACAGCTGATCTCACTTCTTTGAGCCTCGGTTCCCTCATCTGTCACATGAGGATAATAGCCATTTCTGTCTCAAAGTTTTAATCCCACATGAGGATTAAAAAGGATGATGTATTTGAGTAGCCTGGCTCCTGAGAAATGCTCAGGAAACTGAAGCTCTATTTAGCATTACTTTAGTCTTTGATTTGAGGGAGAAATCACCCTTCCAGTTTACAGAAGGGGAAAACTGAGACGCCAACAGGCGATCCAGTGCCAGTCAAGCGTCCCTGAAATAGTCTCTGAATACAAACAAATGAGTGGGCGGGCGTCCTGCTCATTCCCCTCAGCATTTAAAATCCCCAAATCAGGGGTCTAAGCACCAACCCAGGAGGCCAGGATGGAACCCACAGTGCTGGGGGTCAACCAGTATTTGACTGAATCAATGAATTTGAATGAATGAAGGGGATTACCAGGACAAAAGGGGAGGAAAACCCACGAGCACAGGTTACT